ATATAACCTCAGAAAACAGATAATTTTCCCATTGATCTACCACCTAAGTAGGTTTGTGAAGAATTTATTTTATTTTATTTATTTATTTTAGAAAGATCAGCACAGAGCTGGTTCCTATGAGGCATAGGTTAAAGATGTTCCAGATGTCCAACTTTTCCAAATTGCTGTACCACTCCATTATCTCTAACGTCAATAACTACTGTTTCCTTCTATACTCTCCCTCCCATCAGTGGGTTCTCTAGTGCCCTGCATCTATGGGTTCTCTATTTCCCTTCAGTGTCTCAGAGACTTGTCTCTGACAGTGTCTCCCTTAAACTCAGGAATTGTCAAGGAAATGACTCAAGTGGGTATGGATTCTGGCAAGTCCCAAATACATGGGTCAGTCTGCCTGGAGGCCTCCCCACCTCAAGTGATTGCAAGGTGGTGACCCAAGGTGCATCCCATCCTAATCCATCCTCATTGAACATAATGGACAACTCACTGCAAAATGGAACCATTGTGACAGGCACAGAGGCTAGGATTTATAACGCACAACCAAGTGGAGGACTGTGGCTAGGAGGGCCATCTTAAGTGATTCATTGTACCACCATAGGTTACTAACTCAGTATAAAAATAGTCAGAATCTTTTTCTAATTTTACTTCCTAAAAAACTTCTAAAAGCCTTACCTTAGATGTTGTGGTGAAACAGAACACTTGGTTTTCAATTCTAAAACCAAAACCCACTGCCAGAGTCAATTCCAACACACAATCAGATAGAGTAGAGCTGCCCCATAGGGCTTCCAAGGCTGTAAATCTTTTTATGGAAGTAGACTGCCTCATCTTTCTCCCTTGGAGCAGCTGGTAGGTTCCAACCACTGACCTTTTTGGTTCACAGCTGAATACTTTAACCACTGTGCCACCAGAGCTCCTTTGATTTTTAGTAAGGTCTAGAGAAATTGGAAAATGTGATTTAAAGTTTGTAATTCTTTCATTCTTATTAGTTCAAAACATGTAATATTTTGTTTATTTTGTTCTGGAAGTCTTATTTTATTTCAATAGTGAAGTATTAACATATTTAAAGTGATTTTATGTGTGCATTTTGAAATTGGATGTTCTTATTTAATTTTCTGTGGCCTGAAAAATACAGTAATTGTAGTTTTATTATTAAGGGATGGTCGGATGTTATTTGACTACCTGGCAGACAAGCACGGTGTAAGTAGTTTTTTTTTTTT